GCCATGGTGTTCTGAAAAGGAGACAAATGTAGGCAGCCGAGAATTTGAAGCTACGTGAAGGAGGTAGGATTATACTGTTTTTAAAAAGCATGGTGTGAGGAAAAATGTTCAGAAGTGGGAAGGAGCTGGGTTACAGAAGAAACAGTGAGAAGACTTATCTGGATGATGCAGAGTGAGTTATAGACAAGAAGGCTAATTCACTGCATGGAAATGATACTGGCCTATGAGTGCCAGATTCCTTAAGTGTAAAATTACAGAAATGACCTACAGGCATACCTTGTTTAATTGCACTTTGCTTTATTGCACTTCACAGATGTTGCGGGTGGTGGTGAGGGGTGGTTTACAATTGAAGGCAAGACCTTCCACCAACAAAAAGAGTATGACTCATTTTATTGCCATACTTGCTTTATTGTGGTGATCTGGAACTGAACCACAACACCTCTGAGGTATGCCTGTAGATACTTAAGGTCCCTTTCACCATCAACTGTTTATGATTCTACAACAGTGGGTCTCAATTCATTTGTACATCCAAGTAGCCTGGAGATTTTTTTTTTAATCCTCACCCGAGGATATTTTCCCATTTATCTTCAGATAGAGTGGGAGAGTGGGAGGGAGGGGAAGAGAAATATTCACTGGTTGCCTGCTGCACGACCCTGACCAAGGCTGGGGACTAACCGCAACCGAGGCACATGCCCTTGGTCTGCGGACCGATGCTCTAACTGCTGAGCCAAACCAGCCAGAGCAGCCTAAAGATATTTTTTAAATTACAGATGCCCACTCCCCAAGATTCTGATTCAGTAGGTCTAGGAAGAACCAGAACTTCTGTATTTTTAAAAGCTTTAAGTCTGACACAGACCAGAAAACCATTGTTCTGACCCCCTTCCCATTACAGCTTTATCTGTATTACGTACTTAATGCTTCAGTCCAGATAAAATAATTCAACCTATTAATTCCTATCTCATGACTTTCTGCTTTAATAATGACCTATGCCCTCTAACCCAGAGGTTTTCAACCAGTGTATCGCAAGAATTTTTAAAACATGCAGTACCTCACTATTTAGTCAGGGGCACTGACCTCTTTTCCCTTAGATTGTCAAACAAAAAATTGACAACAGCCAACACAACGGTAGCAGTCCAGTGTGAATGAATCAAAATTACACTTTTTTTTTAAATCAGATAGGCAAAAAGTATATTTTTTGGTGTGCCAAAGAATTAAGTTATGTGTGCCACAGGATAAAAAAGGTTGAAAATTGCTGCTCTAACACAGTAATTCTGGGAACCTATCCTAAATAACCAGAAATAAAAACATGTTTCATTAACAAAGATGTGCTATTTTTAACTTTTTATTAAAATATAATTATAGCCCAGGCCGATTTGGCTCAGCAGTTAGAGTATCGGCCCTCCGACCGAAGAGTCACAGGTTCAGTTCAGGTCAAGGGCACGTGCCTCAGTTGCTGTATCAGTTTGGTCCCTGGCCCTGGTCAAGTCCTGCAGGAGACAACTGATCTATGTGTCTCTCTTGCATTCGTGTCTCTCTCTCTCTCTCTCCCTCTCTCTCTCTCTCTCTCTCCCTCTCTCTCTCTCTCTCCACCCCTCCCTCCCACTCTATCTGAGAATAGATGGAAAAATATCCTTGAGTGAGGATTAAAAATATATATATATACACACACACACATAATTATAGTATCACTTTTAATGTCTAAAAATTGAATACAATATAAATTTTTAATGACAGTGAATAATTAAATTATGGCAAATTTATGATAGAATACTAATTAACCATGAAAATGATTACCTTTTAATAAAGTAAAACATTCATTAACACTATAAGAAAACAACAAAACTCTAAGCTTATGTATGTAGGACTTCATTTGTGTTAAAAATAAAGATTAAAGCCCTGGCCAGTTTGGCTCAGCGGTTGAGCATCGGCCTGTGGACTAGAGAATCCTGGGTTTGGTTCCCGCTAGGGGCACGTACCATAAAATAAATAAAGATTAGAAACAAAACTGGAAGATTTGATTCAAAGTGTTAACATTATCTCTAGGTTTTGGGATTATGGGTAACTTTTATTTTGTTTATAATTTTCCATGCTTTCCAAATATTCTATATGCTATGTATTGCTTTTATAATGGGGGAGAAACACTGACCTATTCTGCTGATAGAGACTAGAAAGAAACAATCCGTTCTAAGCTTGAAGAGATTTAAGTTTCAAAAAAGATTCCCATGAGCCCTGGCCGGTTTGGCTCAGCGGTTAGAGCGTCGGCCTGTGGTTCCAAGAGACCTGGGCTCGGTTCCCGCTAAGGGCACGTACCTCGGTTGCAGTTTGTCCCTGGCCCTGGCTGGGTCGTGTGGGTGGCAACCACTCGATGTGTACCTTTCATGTCGATGCTTCTCTTTCTCTCTCTCCCCCTCCCACTCTATCTGAACAAAAAATGGAAAAATGTCCTCTAGTGAGGATAAAAAAAAAAAGATACCCATGAATTCTTATGCATACTTATTGAGCGCTCAAAATTTAAAACAAAGATCAAGACCACTAAATTCTTAAATAATGATCAATGTAACATAACATTCATATTTAGGATCAAATCAGAGTTACTATAAGGAAGCATTCTTATAAACTGGTTAGGTGGGAGTGTGTCAGGTGGGGACTGAAAGCACACTGAAAATCTCAAAGCTAAGAGCACAGGGCAGGGTCTTCCTAGGACTTCGTGATAGTGATGAAGCTCCTTGGGGCCAAAAGACTGACTGCTTTTTGGTATGCTTTGAAAATGGTATGGAGGGAAAATAATCTAGAACAGCGATTTTCAACCTTTTTCATCTCATGGCACATACAAACTAATTACTAAAATTCTGCAGCAGCTCTGGCCAGTTTGGCTCAGCAGTTAGAGTGACAGCCTTCAGACCAAAGAGTCTTAGATTGGATTCCTGGTCAAGGACATGTACCTCGGTTGTGGGTTTGATCCCCAGTCCTGGTTGGGATCATTCAGATAGATGTGCCTCTCTCATATTGATGGTTTTCTCTCTTTCTCCCCGTCTCTCTCCTCCCCATTCTTATCTTTTAAAAAAAAATTAAGAAAAATATCTTCGGGTGAGCATTAAAAAATAAATAAAATAAAATTCTGCAGCACACCAAAAAATGTATTTTTGCTGATCTGACACCAAAAATTTAGGTGTAATTTTGATTCATTCATACCTGACGGCTGTTGTGTTGGCTGTTGTCATTAAAAACATTTTTTAATTGATTTTAGAGAGAGATAGGGAGGGAGGGACACAGAGAGAAATAGTGAGCGACCCAGATTTGTTGTTTCACTTATTTAGGCATTCACTGATTGCTTCTTATATGTGCCCTGACTGGACATCAAACCCACAACCTTGTCATATGGGGACAATGCTCTAACCAAATGAGCTGCCAGTCCAAAGTGTATTGTCATTTTTCAATTTGACAATCTAAGGGAGAAGAGGTCAGTGCCCCTGACTAAATAAACAGGTATTGCATGTTTTAGAAATTCTTGTGGCACACACTGAAAATTGTGATCTAGAAAAATAGATTTCAAGAAGTAGCTAAATTGGAAAGGTGGGATACTTGAAATTATTGCAAAGTCTTATATAGTTCCTGCATGGATTAGCCAGTGGTGGCTACCACACACATAAGATTTTTGAGTATTTCAAATACAGGTATAACTAACTCCTTGTATTGATTGGGCTTCTGGGCTTCCTTTATTGCACTTCACAGGTGTTGGCAGTTTTCACAAATTAAAAGCAAGACCCTCCACCAGCAAAATGATTACCACTGGGCTTTATTGCCCCGCTCGTTTTACTGCAGTGGTCTGGAACCGAACCAGTAAGGTATGCCTGCATTCTAGCCTTTTGACCCCATAAACACACTCAAATTCGTAGACCAGGTGCCTCTGTTTTTAATTATGGAAATAGGGATGTTGTATCTCTGCCAACGGTTAGAGCCCTGAGCCACAATCACAACCTCCAGAAGGGCAATCGCCAAGAAGCCTAACCACACACGCCCAGGCACGCATAATCCACTGCACATTCCGGGCTCCGAGGCCCGCCAATCAGGGGAAGAACCTTCTTGCCATTAACCCCTCCAGCTGCTGGGACGCGCGGCTCAGGCCGGCTGACCCAGGGACTCGGCACACAAACCAAGCCTGCCCCTCTGGAGGCCCGACCACAGCCGCCCCGGCACCCGGAGATCTCCGGCGGGAAACCATTTTTAAAAACAAACACAAACAACAACAAAAGAACGACTTCTCAAGAGCTTTCCAACCCGGAGTAATATCTGACCGCGAAAGTAGAGTATAAAATTGCGTGAAAGCCCAGTTTCACCGAGTGAAAGGCGCCGGAATGAGGCCAGACCACGTCAAGGCCCGGGCTGCAGCAGACGCTGCCCCGCCCCGCCCCGCCCTCGAGGGGCCCTCGGTCTGACCCGTGCCCCGCCGCCGCGAGAGGACACAGCGGCCGCCGCGTCCCTGGAAGGCTCGGTTCGCCGGACCCCAGACTACCGACCAGGCGTCCCGTCTCCGGGTGGGAGCCCAGGGCCGGGACCGGCGCGTTACCTGCAGCAGGTGCAGCTGGGACACGAGGCGCCGCGGCACGTGGAGGAAGCAGTCGTGAGCGTTGCTAAAGGCCACGGTCACGGCCGCTCCACTTTCCCCCGCACCCACTAGGCGTTCGCTGCCCCACATCGCCTGCCTGCGCGGAGCCCCAGCCGCCCACCCTCCCTAACCTGGGCCAAGCCGGCAGGCCCAGGCCGTCGAAGCTGGATGACATCGATCGGCCCCGCCCCCTTCCCGGGCCTCCCGTAGGGGAGGGGCTAGCAGGCCGGCTCCCTCTCTCCTGGCTGCTCCGCCGCGCCGCTAGGGGGCGGCACCTCGTTCATCGAATCCCCACGTGCAGGAAACGATGGCCGACGTTATCGATTCTCCAGCGAATCCCCGCGCGCCTTGACCTATCCCTCTCTCTCGTTGGATAAACGGCAGTGCGGCCCGGCGGATGTTGTCTGTTCTGCGAGGGCCAGAGCCGGCAACATGGCGTCGAGCGGCGGGGAGCTCGGTGGCTTATTCGAGCACCACGTCCAAAGGGCTGTTTGCGACACGCGGGCCAAGTATCGGGAGGGGCGACGACCTCGTGCTGTCAGGGTAAAGTGATTTTGGTTTCATTTGCTATCCTCGGTAGTTTTAGGTGAGTTCCAGCTCCACACGCCCAGCCTATGTAGAGAAAGGCTTGAAAGGCTGCCGTCAGATCCGTCGCTAGTTGCAGGTAAGTATAAGGAAGCCTGGAAACGAGGTTCCAGACACTCTCCCGGCGTTTGGTCAGCTGCGAGGACGTCAGCTCTGCGAAAACGGCTTTGTTCGAATCGTCGTATCTTCCGTGTTTACGGAACTGCTGGGCGGTTGGTAAGCACTCAGTGCGACTTCTACCGAGCCAGCTTCTGGAAAACATGTCGGTTGAAAGTAGTCTTATCTTTTTTTATGCTTTAGTTAGGTGAAGTCACGTGGGGCGAATTATTCTTTATCAAAGAGAAGGGCAAAGTTTTTTTAAATTTTGGTTTTCTGCAAACCGGTTGAAGAATATTTCATGTTTTCAGAGCTTTTTTTTTTAAAGATGGATTTGTCAGGCGTATTTGTGAAACATATTTAACTTGTTTGCATTTCTTTTAGGTATATACAATTAACTTGGAATCTCGGTACTTATTAATACAAGGAGTTCCTGCGGTGGGAGCGATGAAGGAATTAGTTGAGCGATTTGCTCTATATGGTGCAATTGAACAGTATAATGCTCTAGATGAATACCCAGCAGAAGACTTTACAGAAGTTTATCTTATTAAATTTATGAATTTACAAAGTGCAAGGTAATGTGCAAGTTAAACCCTGTCTTATTACCTCCATTCCCATTGCTATTATTTTGGCCCCACCTAAATTACCCAATAACCTAAATTATCCTTACCAAAACACTTTCCATCACGTCATTCCCATGCCTTACAGTTTTGTCGTGTAGGGTGGTAGATTAAAAATTGGGTTCGGGGTACGTTTTCCAGTTACACTGCTTACTAACATCATGACCTTGGACGAGTTATTTAACCCTATTTAGCCTAGTTTTCCTTTTCTGTAAAATCCACATGGTAAAAAAATCCATATGCTTATTGAGGTTGTGTGGGGATGAAATGAGGTAACCCATGTAAAGGGCTTAGCCTAGCACCTCCTAAAGTGCAGTAAACATTAGCTATTGAAGTTCTTATTGTTGCGCACCTATTGACCCAATCTCTTCCAACTATATAACATAAACTCTGTTCCAAAGAGGCTGAAATGTGAAATGCCTTATTTATTTTTAAGTGACCCCTACTAATTTGTTCTAAGACCCATCTTTCCCTGGCTATTACAGTTCATATTTTCTATGCTATGAAGAGCACTTGTAGTCTGCCATAAAGCACTTATTTTATGGAGTCGAGTGGTGTTCTCAAATTACTCTAATATGTATTCTCACTTCCCTAACCAACTTGCCAGTTCCTCATGGTTAGGGAAGGATATTTATTCTAGAGTTTCCGCGTTTCCCACAGCACCTAGTGCAACAGGCTTTGGAGTTCGACATCTTGAATCCTAGCCTCACTAACCAATGTGAGCATGGCCGAGTTCCCCAGGCCTCACTTTCATCATAGGGTTGTTATGAAGTGTTAATTCAAGTGAAGCACTTAGGACACTGTCTGGCACTTGGTAAAATCTCAATAAGTATTTATCCCTGGGCACAAAAGTACTTAAATATTATTGTAGTAATGCCGACCAGTTATAGATGTTTAGTAAGTATTTATTGAATACCATCCTCTCGTTTTCTTATTGATTAGTTGTTATACAGCATTTCTTCAACTATTGAAGGTTTTATAATTATGTTTTTATTTTTTATGAATCTCATTATAGGAACATATTGTGCTGAAAAGGCTAAATTGGGTATGAGCTAACTCTCAAGGGCCATATAACTCAACACAGAAAAATCTTTCTGGTATGATCATGGATTGTGTACCTTAGGCTAAACAGCTGGGTTCTGAGTTGGTTAAAGGGAGTCTAGATATCTGTGGATGACTTAGCTCAAACCCCATTAACACTGTTGGGAGAGGGGAGGAAAGGCTCTCAGAGTGTTCACTGGATCAATAAGGTCAGTTCCATCCATAAGCACATTATCTTGATTCCCAAACCATAGGGTGGACACACAGCAACAGCTGAACTTTGCTTTTTAGATCAATGCATTGTATACTAGTCAAGCTTTCATCCCAAGTAAATCTCGATTAGTAAACTATGCTATCATATATTTCTGTTTAGGACAGCCAAGAGAAAAATGGATGAACAGAGTTTCTTTGGTGGATTGCTTCATGTGTGTTATGCTCCAGAATTTGAGACAGTTGAAGAAACTAGAAAAAAATTACAAGAAAGGAAGGCTTATATAGCAAGAACTGCTAAAAATAAAGGTATGGAAAGTCTGTTACTAAACACGTATGTGTCGGGCATTCTGCTAGGTATAGCATCATGGCACTCTCAATCTAGTGGAAAGAGCAGTAAATGATCACAATATTCAATAACTATAAACTACATGGTTCTTTGTAGCATTCAGCGTAATGTGAGCTGGGAAGAGAGAGATGTTAGTTCATGGAAGCCTTCCTATAGGATGAAAGAGGTGACTGAGTTTTGAAGGATAAGTAGACATTACTCAGAAGAGGAGAGGGAATAAATGGAAAGGGGGTCAGGTAGCATATTTAAAGGGCCAGAGGATAAATGAGCATCGTGCATCTTATGGAACTGTGAGTAGTATAGGATAACCATACACAGGAGAGATAAGATTACAAAAGTGGGCAGTAAGTGAACTGTGAAGGGCCTTGTAGTCCCATGCTAAGGAATTAAGACCTAAAGGAAGTGAGAAATAATTAGGATTTGCAGACTATTTACCAACGACGAGTCTAAAACTGCTAACAATGAGAAAATTTCACTTTTGACCAGCAGCTGGCCAGATGTCTAACTGAGTTTCCCTAGACACAAATTCCAGATGCCTGGAATGGATAGTGATGGGATCTGGTATGTGGATTGTCGGACTAGAGCAGGCAGAATTGGATTAAGATAGTGTGTGTAGTCTGAAATCTGAATTCTACTAGAGGCTCAGATGACCAAATTTCTACTCTTTGGTTCAAAGGCAAAGTCAGTGTCCATATGGCTATTGAATATGATGAGTTTATGGCTGATTAGGGAATGGGCATGTGGCAGTGGTGAAGAGAGAAATAAAGTGGGGGAGACTCTTGGAAAACTTACGTGAAAATTTGTCAAGAGAGCTGTTGAGAGTCCCTGGCCATTTGTAGACACTGAATGTTAACCTTTGGTATATGTAAATAACTAGCTCCATGCAAACTTGTGCGTGGGGTACAGAAAAATTACTCAGTATGGGCCCAGCTTATTGCTTCCTTTAACACAAACTAAGCAGCATATACACTCAGATAGTAGAATACTCTGAAGCAGGTTTTGTTTTTTTTTAAAGCAGCTTTGTACGTAATGACATGGAAAAACTCTCCAGGATCTACAGTTAACTGGAAGATGCAAAAGTGCAGAGAAATGGGTATTACACGGGAGAAAGGCGGGGAGGTGGAAGGAAGAAAAAAAAGACACACTGGACAAATGAATAAGAAAGCGATTATTTATGGGGGTGGAACCAGGCATTCGGGGAGCAAAGAAAGAGGTTAGCTTGACACTACTATACCTTTTATCCTTCTTAGCTTTTAAACCACATGAATTTATTGCCTGCTCAAGAAATAAAATTTAAGGGTAGCTTTTCTTAACATTTTAAAGTATTTGTTTTTAGAATTAGACTTTTCTGAATGCTGAAAACAAATGAATCATTTCTGTTTTCTTTTCTCTTAATATAAAGGTCATTTCATGACAAAGAAGAAACTGGTTATAGAGCATAAAGATACAAAAGATTTTAGACAGGACTCCCATTCAAAGAAATCTGGATTTTGTGAAGCTGCGTTGAACACTTCTGCTGGGAAATCAGATCCTTGTCTTCCTTATTCTTGTGAATTGCCTTTGTGCAATTTCTCCTCAAAATGTATATGTTCGTCAGGAGAGTACGTGAACAGAGCATCTAACTCCTCTAGGAATGGTAGAAACCACGATGAAACAGTGGGGCATTGTAGCCACAATGACTCATGGCAGAAAATGCAGATGAAAACTTTAAAAAATTCAGTGTCCTGCCCTGGTGCTATTACTATTACTTCTTCAGCAGCAGTTGACAGATTTATGCCTAGGACAACACAACTGCAGGAGCGGAAAAGAAGAAGAGAAGATGATCGTAAACTTGGACCTTTTCTTGAAACAAGCAAGGACAGTAATGAGGTTGTGATTGGACCTCAGTTACCAGACATACCTAAAGTGGATATGCATGATGACTCGTTGAATACAACAGCGAATTTAATTCGGAGTAAACTTAAAGAGGTAAGATATTTAAAGAAAACTTCTACTAGACAATTTGTTTATAGGACTAATGCTAAATGGAGAATTATATATGAGAATGACAGTATGTACTGTCATTAATTATTTTTCATTTTTAGTTGTTTGATGTGCTTTCCTATAATTATCTTTGAATTAACTGAATTTGACTAACAAATGTATTTGCTTCGATACATTAATCCTTGCCTTAAACAAGAAACAGAATACTATGCTTTATAAAGGGGGGGGGGGGGGGGCTAAGGTAGCTTAATTTATTTTATGTACATTTTTTACCTGAAAATTATCTGATTAAGGATAGGGATTGTTTTAAAATAATAAAAACCCATGGACACAATTTCTTTTTTCTTTTTCTTTTTTTTGGTATGTGCCCCTAGCAGGGACCCAACTTGGGACTCTGGTCCACAGGCTGATGCTCCAATCGCTGACCAAACCAGCCAGGGCTGGACACAATTTCTATGCTTAAGCCTCTTTTAAATTTTTTACTTTGTGCTGGCCCCCTGCCCTTCTTCACTTAACACCTAAACAGAGCGGTCTCACCCAGAGCTGACTGCATTTTCAAGAAAAATGTTAGGTCCAAATCCTAGGTATAGAAATAGTAGAACAACAAAACAGAGAAGTACTGAATATAATTTATTACAATTTCAAATAATTTTCCATTTTAAGTGAAGACTGTCTTATTCTGCATTAACTTATTATCTACTCTTTTTCTCATGATGTGTTTGATTTCATTTTTGCTAAGAAATTGAGGATTATACCATTTTCTGATTATTTCCCCATATTTTTCATCTCCCCCAAACCTCTGTTTCTCTAAATATATCAGACATTTTCAGTGTTTCAAGTTAGGCACAACCAGGATATCTATCTACCCATAAAATAAAAAGTGACTCACATCTATAAAGGAATGTTAAAAGTTAGAGTGTATGTTTACTTCTCTCCCTTAAACATTTTTTTGTTGTTAATTGGCTTTAGAAATTTTATTGCCATCAATATTCAGGCAGAACACTTTGCTTTGTGCCTAGATTGTAGGCTGTACCTTGAACTTGGGTTAGGTCTACTTCAAACGTGATCGCAAGGATTGAACTACTGGATATCTATCCTACCTCTTCTGATGGTTTATTTACTCTTGTACCATAAAAATTAAGTTTTGCTGGTTCCTTTTTCAAACTAGGTGGTTTCATCTGTGCCAAAGCCTCCAGAGGACAAGCTGGAAGATGTGCATACAAGTCATCCATTAAAACAAAGAAGAAGAATATAAGATTACTAGTAGCAAGTTAATATTTTCTAAGGGAGTATTTATTTTTTATTTTTAGCCTGTCATTTTAATTCTTGAAGAGATTTTACTACTGGTATTTTTTTCAATGCACTCCTCTCTATAATTTCATTCAAGCTACTTGTCTAATTCAGTTTCATCTTTTAAAATGAGTTTATCATGGACAAAATACATGCCAGCTAACTGTTTCTCTTAATAAAACTGCTCCAAAAATTCCACCCAGTGCCTTTAGTTATATCTTATTGGCTAGATCTGGGCCCATGACTGTTCCTAACTGAGGAGTCTGGAATAGTGTTTTAGTTTTCCAGCTTCTGTGGTTGAGAAAGCGAGAGAAAAGAGGGGTGGGAATGCCTGACTCACAGCAGGCCACAAGATCCGAGGTGGTTGGTTAACTTACATAAAAATTAGCTTCTTATTACCTATTATAGGTGTCAATTTGATCCATTCTTAATATTACAGACACTGTTTTTATAACATTACTTCTCACACTACAGTAACTATATGTGAATTAATTAATTGAAGGAAATAAAGATAGGCAATCAGGACTTGTTTTTTATTTTACTGCAAATATTGAGTGATTCACATTTAAAAACTAGAAGTTAAGACATGTTTGAATGCCAGAGCTTCAAAATCAAGACAAATCTGTAAAGTAAAAAAGTTAATAAACTGTTAGAGCAAAGCTGAAATTAGAAGTTTGCATGCTTTAGTTAACTTGCAAGAAGAAATTACTTAATCTGTGGCAGAAACAAATTAGAATTTGTAAATACTAGACTTCTACCACTACTTTTAGCATTTTTTTTTTCTGTTAGTAGACCACTTAATGGAAACCTAATTTTTTCCAGGTTGTTTCCATATTTTTACTGATAAAAATAACTGGAGAAGGCCCATACCAAATGATGTCTGTTTTTCTCTTCTCTCTTTCCTTTTTTTTTTTTTTTTTTAATTAATTAATTTATTTCTGTTACAGATGTTTCTCCTCTTTCCCCCACTGATTCCCCCCTTCCCCTCCCTCCCCGCCCTGTCCCCAGCTTTGTTGTCCATGTCCACTGTTCATGCATACATGCATATAAGTTTTTTCTCTCTATCCTTAGGGCCTCTGGCCTAATGGATTGAATTGGAACATACAAGTTAAGAAGGTTCATCTTCAGTTAAGACTTATTGATCCAAACTTGTTAGTATGGTTCTAAGTGGTAGATAGTCTTTTTTTTTTTTTTTTTTAATCCTAACCCAAGGATATTTTTCCATTTATCCTCAGATAGGTTGGGAGAGAGGGAGAGAGAAACATCAATGTGAGAGACACACATCAACTGGCTGCCTCCCACATGACCCCGACCAGGGCCGGGGACTGAACCGCAACTGAGGTATGTGCCCTTGACTGGAATTGAACCTGCGACTCTTTGGTCCGCAAGCCAATGCTCTAACTGCTGAGCCAAACCAGCTAGGACATGGTGGATAGTCTTAATAGAAGCTGCAGGCAAGGGGGTTTTGCCTCAGTTCCTTGTAGGTAATTAGATATATTTTCACTGAATTCAGGTAAAAGATACATTAGAGAGACCTGAGCACAGAATTGGAAAAAATAAGTTGCTGTCTAGATCAGGCTTCTTAGACTTTAGGGTTTTATGAACCTCTACCTTGGGGTCTTAACTGTGATTCTGATGGTGGTGGCAGGAATGGGGAGTTGTATAATGAACATAGTTTCAGTTTTGCAAGATGAAAGCGTTCTGGAGATTGCTTGCACAACAGTGTGAATGTACTTAACTGAATACTGAAAATTGATTAGGATGGTCAAGTTTATGTTAGGTGTATTTATTTAACCACACACAAAAAAATCTGACAGCCCTAAAGGGAGGAGCTGCTAAGTGGGTTCTTTGTTCTTTTGTTGTTGTTGATCCTCACCTGAGGATATTTTTTCCATTGATATTTAGAGAGTGGGAGGGAGGGAGGGATGGGCAGAGAGAAACATTGAAACGTGTGAGAGAGAGACATATTGATTGGTTGCCTCCCACACACGCCCTGACGGTAGGGAATCGAACCTGCAACCCAAGTATGTGCCCTTGACTGGGAATCAAACCCATGGCCCTTCAGTGCGTGGGCCGATGCTCTAACCACTGAACCACATGGGCCAGGGTGGGTTCTTTGTTCTTGAATGGATTCCTGATCTGTTCTCTGGAAGCCAGCACTCCTCCCCACCCCCGCCAACATACATAATACAGGATTTGACCATGATGAGAGAAGGAAAGCAACCTTTGTGTCAGGCACCAAAAAAAGATCTGATTCAGTTGGGCTGGACTGGGGTCTGAGATTCTGCATTTCTCATAAGTTCCTAGGTAATCCCATTGTGCTGGTACACAGACTACTCTGAGTGGCAAGGCTGTAGATAACGGGGCTACAGATGAAGTCTCAGGGAGCAGACTGTTGGTATTCCATCCAGACCTAAGGAGTTACTCCAACCCAGTTCATTATTCTACTGTTTCCCCCATCAGTCTCTTAAAATGAGAAGTCTGCCTTTCACACATAGCTTTTTACCATACATTTCCAGACAATTAAAATGTGAGAATAGCCCTGGGCTGGGTGATTCGATTAGTTGGAGCATCGCCCCATAAATCAAAAAAGTGAAAGTTTGATTCCTGGTTGGGGTATATATAAGAAGCAACCAATCGATGTTTCTCATATAGATGTTTCTCTCCCTCCCTTCCTCTCTCTAAAATCAATAAACATGCCCAGCCAGTGTGGCTCAGTGTTTGGGCATTGACCTATGCACCAAGCGGTCACTGGTTCAATTCTGGTCGGGGCACATACCCAGGTTGTGGGATCCATCCCCAATGGGGGGCGTGCAGGAGGCAGCCGATCAAAATTGATGTTTCTCTCATCGATGTTTATCTCTCCCTCTCTAAAAGCAATACAAACATTTTAAGAAATAATAAATAAAATGAAACCAATAAATATCCTTGGGTGAGGATTTAAAAAATGAAAGTGGGGCCCTGGCCAGTTTGGCTCAGCGGTTAAAGCATCGGCCTGCGGTCCGGAGAGACCCGGGTTCGGTTCCCGCTAAGGGCACGTACTTCGGTTGCAGTTTGTCCCCGGCCCTGGTTGGTCGTGCGGGTGGCAGCCACTCGATGTGTCCCTTCACGTCGATGTTTCTCTCTCTCTCTCTCTTCCTCTCTCTCCCTCCCACTCTATCCGTACAAAAAATGGAAAAATATCCTCGGGTGAGGATAAAAAAAAATAAAATAAAAAATGAAAGTGGGAATAAAGTACAGTGGGACAAATTAAGAGATGAGGTGAGGAGGCTAAGGATAGTTGATGCAAGTTCGTTCACAAAATCATCTAAATTAACACAGAATAAAAAGTTTCTTTAAAAAAAGTGCCTTCTCCCTGACCCGTTTGGCTCAGCGGTTGGAGCATCGGCCCGCTGACCAGAGGGTCCCGGGTTCAGTTCCCACTAAGGGCATGTATGTCGGTTGCAGTTTGTCCCTGGCCCCGGTTAGGATCGTGGGGGTGGCAACCACTCGGTGTCTTTCTCAGATTGATGTTTCTCTCTCTCTTCTTCCTTCCCTCCCTCCTGCTCAAACTGAAAATAAATGCAAAAATGTCCTCGGGTGAGGATAAAAAAAAAAAAAGTGCCTTCAAATATCATGTTTGCAAAGCACAGCTGATCAAAGGCAGAATTAAAGGAAATGCTAATGAGTCAGACAATTATTAGGCTGACTGTTCTAGCTCAGAAAACTTGTCAAAATCAAACATGAAAAAAACCCTTATGACCACAAAACACTATATATGTGTCCAAAATTTTCAAAACTCAATTTATTCTCATGGACAACATTTGGGTTGAAGGAGACCATGGTTTTCTTAGCAGTTCTCGCCGAATCCACTCTACTCACTGTTCTATCCCATAAGCAAGCCCGATATACTGTGGTTTTCTTTGGGAAAATATCAACATACAGGAAATCAGGACTTGTATATAGCCGAAGTCATGAGCTCAAAAGAAAAATCCTGAATATAATGACATAAATAGTCACTACTGCCTTATGACTTTAAATAGTCACTACTACCTTGGTTCCCAAAGCACCAGGATGGGGCTGAGCCCTTCATGGTTGCCTGAACTTAGCAGTGAGCTGAAGCCCTACAGAGGTGAATTTCTAGGGAGTGTTATTTTCAGATCCTTTAACATGTTCCCTCAGCCTTTGTGGGCTGTAGGCACTGTACCTTTGCTTCTGGTAAACATTGTCCAAACACTTCCAACAAAAGTCTCTCTTCTGTCACTGCTTTTTCAAAGTCTGCAAAAGATATCTTGCCATCGTTGTCATAATCCTAGAGAGTAAGATGATTTCTTGATAAATGATTGAGGTTTTTTTAATTTTTAAATTTTTATTTATCTTTAATCCTCACATGAGGGTATTTTTCTATTTATCTTCAGACAGAGTGGGAGAGAGGGAGAAAGAGGGTCCTGAGGGAGAGAGAGAGAAATATCGACGTGAGAGACACATTGACTAGCTGCCTCCTGCATGACCCCGACCAGGGCCGGGGATGAACCACAACTGAGGTACATGCCCTTGACCAGAATCAAATCCGCAACTTTTGGTCCACGGGCCGACACTCTAACCGCTGAGCCAAACCAGCCAGGGCTAAGTAATTTTTTAAATTGTGCATGGGAAATAATTGTCTAGAATGAAAAGGTTATACCGAGTAAAACTAAATTCACATTTAGTAGGCATTACCTACATAAATCCAAAAGTACTTATTTAAGGAGGCCACTTACTTTATTCCTATTAATTGAACAGGCATCCCTGGTATTATGGACTGAATATTTTTGCCCCCCTACCCCAACTCCCTAGTTCATATATATATATATATATTTTTTCTTCTTCTTCTTCTTCTTTTTCTTCTTCTTCTTCTTCTTTATTGATTTTAGAGAGAGAGGAAGTAGAAGGGAGAGATAGACACATCGACAAGGAGAGAGAACATCGACTGGCTGCCTCTCGCATGCCCCCCGCTGGGGACCGGGCCCACAACCTGGGCATGTGCCCTGACCGGGAATTAAACCGGCGACCTCCTGGTGTACGGGTCGATGCTCAACTGCTGAGCCACACCAGCCAGGCCCAAGTTCATATATTTTTAACACCCAATGTGATATTTGGAGGTGGGGCCTTTGCATGGTAATTAGGTTTAGATGAGGTCATGATGTAATTAATATTTTTTTAAGTAGAGAAAGAGACCAGAGCTCCTTCTCTCTGCCTTGTGAGGACATACCGAGGAAGTGGCGTCTGCAACCCAGGAAGAGAGCCCTCACCAGGGAAGTGAATCAACTGGCACCTTGATCTTGGACTTCCCCATCTCCAGAACTGAGAGAAATAAATTCCTGTTGTTTAAGCCACCGTCATTGTTAATTTTTTAGCAGCCCAAGCAGACGGGCACCCGAGTTACCTTATATCAAATGTGGCCCTGTACTATAGACAAATGAGACAAAAACATGAGAGAAAGCCCAATATTATATTGCTATTTTTGTGATAAAATAAGTGCCACAGGGCAAAAATTCTCAAGTTTAATTTTTAGTAGCAGAACTCAGTCCTCAAAGGATCTCTTACTTGGAGCTCATCATATATAAAGGTTAAAAGTGAAGTCGCTCAGTTAAGGAGCAAGGCACTGGGGGTTAGAGCACTAACAGTCCAAGATGGACTAGAGTCATGCAGAGCACTATAGGCCTTTAAGGATGGTTGGGAGCTAGACAGGTTGGGAGGTGTGTGGAGGAAATGTAGAGTGGTCCAACCTGGGTTATGGCAGTAAGCAGGAGTGTAAGTCAGGAAGAGAGACCTGCCTCAAGTGGAATACATCGTGGGGGTAGCATAGCATGTAGATTATGAATGCCTTTAACTGCTTAAGTGAATTTGGATTTGATTTGATGAGTCCTTGTTTTTTTCACTTCTGGGCATAACTAAATCAAGGTTGCTGAAAGTCTAATCTAGAGACAGGTTTGAATAATTGTCAAAAAAAGGGCTCATTCCATAACATATCCTTTAAAATAATAATAATAATAATAATAATAAAAAAGGTGGGGTGGGGTGGGGAGGGGTGGGTTTGGTATGAGGGAACACTCTCTCTCAAGTAGTCTACCCTGAGCCCAGGCAGGATCTAGTGAAATTGTTGCTAATGGAAGAGGATACTCTGGAGTCTGTGGTAGCTGAGTCTGAGACTCGGCAGTCCAGATCCTTTGTTTCTTTCTTGAACTCCAGAGTCATGGGTGAGTGGGGCCTGGGCTGCCTTAGGGTCACAAATCTTCATGGTATCCAGTTTAGGGTCATAGTAAGAAAAGGAGAGAAATTAGTATGTCCATCATACATCAATATTATTGGTTTCATTGAAAGATGAATTCACCCAATTTTCTAATATGACCTTGAACAAACCTATCTGTACTTCAGTTTTCTCATCTGCGAAATAAAGATAATATTTCTACTTCATAGGGTTGTTCTAAAATGAGTTCATATATTAAAGTTCTATGAAGGGCCTGGCATATAGCAAGCACTCTATAAAGAACAGCCTTTTATTATTATGTTATTTTGTTATAATGATTGTTTAGAAGAATTGGAAGACTAGGGTCATGGAGACAGACTAAAATAGCAACCAATTTTATACAAATTAAATCTGCTGCCTACCCCCTCCCCAAGTATTGAGGTTTTACTGATTTAAAAGTATTTTAAGCCCAGCACGGTGGCTCAGTGATTGAGCATCAATCCACGCACCAGGAGGTCACCGGCTCAATTCCTGGTTGGGACACATGCCTGGGTTTCAGGCTCAATCCCCAGTAGGGGGTGAGCAGGAGGCAGTTGACCAATGCTGATATGATAATGTTTTTCTCTCTCTCCATCTCTAAAATCAATAAAAACATTTAAAAAATGTTTTAAAATAAGAAAATTAGCCCTGGCCGGTTTGGCTCAGCGGTTAGAGCGTCGGCCTGCGGTCTGGAGAGACCCGGGTTCGGTTCCCGCTAAGGGCACGTACCTCTGTTGCAGTTTGTCCCCGGCCCTGGTTGGTCGTGCGGGTGGCAGCCTCTCGATGTGTCCCTTCACGTCGATGTTTCTCTCTCTCTCTTTATCTCTCTCCCTCCCGCTCTATCTGAACAAAAAATGGAAAAATGTCCTCGGTTGAGGATTAAAAAAAAGAAAATTAACATTCATTGGGTACAGTGATTCATTTACTCACCCAGCAATTTCATAAATATCTACTGAGCACCCACTGTTCGCCAGACACTGTTCTAAGCAATGGACCGCAGAGAACCAACAACTGCCCTCGAAAGGCTACACTATCATGTAGGGAAGTGATTTTTTCATCTTTAGTGCTATCCAGCAACCACTTGATTGGATATAGTGAATTAGCGTTTTTCATTCTTACCATTTTCTTCAGTGTTATCTCTACCAATTCTCTTATTCCTTCATCAGTGTCTTCCTCAGACTGGTGTAGACTGTTCTTCAACATGTCAAATACTTCCTCTTGAGAAATGTAACCATCATGACCATTCAAATAATATACTTCAAAACAGACTTTTCAAAGCATAAGAAGTTTAAAGACTTGGATAAGGATAGTTAAAATGTCATCAATCTTCTCCTTATGTATGTCAATATATATAAAAAAACAATTTATATAACCTATAATTATTGATTTATATGGTAAAGATATTTTTAAATAAAGCAGCCTTTATTATATTTCTTTCCGTAAAATGAAATACCCCTTGGAACGTGAAAAGACAACTTCATGATTTTGAAATTGAGGGTAGAAAAATATTATGAAGCTGCAAAAAAGAGGATCCATATTTTTAAATCTTTGATCATATAATACATACATACATACATATACATACATATGTAAAAATCTCAGTACCATGATTTTTTTTACATAGAGTACAAACTTAAGTATACTTTGCTATGTCATTGACAACATTTTCCAGTGTATTTGGGTAGTGAGACTTGGGGCCTGCCCATCTGTACTATTCAAAGTGATCGATCTCTCCCTGGAGTGACTACTACCTCATGGAGTAAGCACCACCACAGTTCACTCATTCATCCACAGGTGACTTACTCAGGTCCTGAGGATACAGCAGTAAAAGAGTTCTTATGGTGCATGTAATCCAGTTAACTGTTTTACAAAAGCAATAGAACCATGCACAAAACTGCAGAGTATCAGATTAGCTGCATCTTTTTGTTGAGTGTCTCCAATCTGTTGCATATATAAGTTTGCAACACAACCCTACTAGAAGTAGTATGTTCACCCAAATTACTTATCTTGAAATATATATGAAACACTTTTACAAAGCGGGGTTAGAGAAGGAAAATTTTTTTGATAGGGTGATGCTATTCAATGTCAGATACTTTTAATGTCACAGCCATTTTCATCAGGTGTTAGCGGTACCTCAGGAATCCGCACCCAAGACACTTAGGGTTTCACTTTTCAGGGACACTTTTGTATAAGAATGTTGCAATAAGTTTAAGTGGCAAATAGGGTGGGCAAGAGTAGGCTTACAGTTGTGAGTACACGAGTTTATCCTTGTATTATTATTTATGATTCTATTATTTTCCATTTGAAGTACTGTAAACCTACTTTTGCTCCACTCTGTATTTAAATGTTATCCTGTAAAAATTAGACTGAAGAAGAAAAACTAGAAACAAAAAGTACAAATGTCAGAAAGCTGGTGATTTTTAAAAAATGATGTTATCATTTTAAAAATGTGTTTAAGATAGGGATCTTTTGAACATTACAAACCCAAATTCAAGTGGAAGAATAACAAGGGATAAAAACAATTTGCTTCCTCAGAACTCTTCTGTCTTCTCTAAGCAACTGACACTAAGCAATCTATTTCCTTGAAAACTGCTACTTAAAATTGTTCCTACTCTCATTCCAGAGTTCCTCACCCCAAATCCTGGCACCAGAGGTGTAAAACATAGGAAATAGCCCAGGCGGTGTTGCTCAGTGGACTGAGCGTCGTCTCAGACTGAGAGGTCCCAGTTCGATTCCCAGTCAGGACACATGCCTGGGTTGGGGGCTCGATCCCCAGTAGGGGGCGTGCAGGAGGCAGCAGATCAGTGCTTCTCTCTCACATTGATGTTTCTCTCTCCCTTCCTCTCTCTAAAAAAAAAAAAAAAAAAAAAATCAATGAAAACATATTTAAAAAGAGAAACAGGAAATACACATCACATCAATGGTACAGGTGAGGGGAGGCCAGAGTTATTTCTAGGCAAAATTGTGAACTGGGAGATTTTTGCCTTTGCAATTCCTAATGTCCTTTTCTGTATGAAGAAGATCTTTTATAAACCTTCCTTGGGGCTCTCAATGTCCTGAGGCTTTTCTCCTCTTTTCACTCATCTACACTAACACTAGAGCATCGATGTCTGGTGGTTAATGTGTCTTACCTCGTCTTATGTCAAACCTTCACATTTAAAAAAAATAGAAAGACAAGCAATGGCCCTAATGTGACTTGTGCACTGCCCCCTATCAAGGCTCTTGCTGAGCCCAGAGGCAGCCTCAGAAACCTCTGCCATGCTAGCTGACTGAAACTGGCATAAGACCTAACCCTTGGTTTCTATTATTAGCCTGGGCCTTATGCCAAAGACCCATCCTGGTGGGCATTACAGAACCAGTGAGGAAAGTGTTTGGGGAATCTTGGGACTAGGGACTCAGGAAATAGCCTGCCCATTTCATCTGGTTTTTATTTTTTAAAGCTGTCATGAACTATTTTTGCAAGGTTGTTATAGAAAACACTAATTTTATACTTTAAAAATATTTACACATTCACTAAACACAAAATTGACAATATATATTACTCAGCCAGTAATTCCATACAGAAGTCTTACACTTCAGCTTTTCTTCAAAAGTCCCTCGAAGAAACACTGATACTCCTTTAACCCACTCATTTACATTTATGCAGTTATCACTGTCTTTGTCAAACGCAAAAAATACTGAAAAAAAGAACATGTAAGCATGTAATTTACAGCTATTTTATAATTCAAGAGTGTATATATATATATATATATATATATATATGAATAGATTTATAAAATTTTCCTCCCAAAGTGAAGGGAAAACGGTTTGGCACAATCATTGTTGAGTTAAAATTACTGAAAATATGTTTTCCCCAGATTTTTATAGGAAGAAGAGTCACACTCTGTCCTCCATGACCAATGATGAGATTTATTTGTGATGTTTTGTACAGTTAGTATGAGCCAAGAAGTCCAATGATGGAGCCAATAAATGTGATTTTTATTCTAAAAGTAGAATTTTATTCTAAAATTCACCTTGGCTGGATTGGCTCAGCAGTTAGAGTGTTGGTCCATGGACCAGAGTCTCGGGTTCAATTCCTGATCAAGGGCATGTACCTTGGTTTCAGGTTTGATCCCCCGGCCCCGATCGGGGTCATGCAGGAGGCAAACAATTGATGTGTCTCTCTCACATCAATGTTATTCTCTCTCTCTCTCTCTCTCTCTCTCTCTCTCTCTCTCCCTCCCTTCCTCCTACTCTATCTAAAATAATCAATGGACGCCCAGCCGGTGTGGCTCAGTGGTTGAGCGTCAACCCATGTACCAAGAGTTTTGCTGGTTTGATTCCCATTAGGGGCACATGCCCTGGCTATGGGCCAGATCCCCTGTGGGGGGGCATGTAGGAGGTGGCCAATTGATGTTCTCTCTCATTGATGTTTCTATGTCTCTCCCCTTCTCCCTTCCTCTCTCTCTCTCTAAATCAATAAAGACAAAAAAATTTTTTTAATTTAAAATAATAAAAGGAAAAATACACTTGAGCGAGGATTTAAAAAAAAGTGGCAAAATTGTTCTAGAGTTTGTACAAGGCCAAGTTAAATTACTAGAATAATACTATTTTAAAATTACCAATGAAGTCTTATTCTATAGAAAATAAAATATGATGGACTCTTTTGGGGATGATGAATATGTTAATTATTTTGATTATGGTTATAGTTTCAAGGATGTACATATATATCAAAACTTACCAAGTTGAACACTAAAACTCTGTTAGTGAAAGTGACTGGCTCACATTAAATAACTTCCTATTTTAAATAAATGATCTTTGATTTTTTTCAGTATAATGAGTATCATTGTTTTGTACTGACTGATACATTTTTCTTTTTTTTTTTTAATCCTCACCCGAGGACATTTCTCCATTTTTTGTTCAGATAGAGTGGGAGGGAGAGAGAGGAAGAGAGAGAGAGAGAGAGAGAGAGAGAGAGAGAGAGAGAGAGAGAGAGAAATGTTGACATGAAAGGGACACATCAAGTGGTTGCCACTCGCACGACCCAACCAGGGCCGGGGACAACCTGCAACAAAGGTACGTGCCCTTAGCGGGAACTGCAGGCCAACACTCCAACCACTGAGACAAACAGGCCAGGGCACATTTTTCATTTTTATAAGAAAAAGAAGTCATTGAAAATTTTATGTCCACAGCATATGAATCCATAGACATCATAATTAAAAGCCACATGCTTATTTAAAAAAAATAATACTGCTAGCTTATTTAGCCCATTACTGGTTATCTCTCAAAATGGTACAGTTATAAGACATCCTGAGTGAGTTTATATTATAAACCACCCTGACAATAAAATCAACTACTGATTTATATTGGCAGCACTATCAGAATTGTCTTTCTAGTTTGGTATTAAAAAATGCAAAGTCTTTGATGAAAATTATATATGTAACACTTGCCATATATTAATCTATTTTAACTTATATGCCATGTACTTGTTTGCCATCTCAGCTTGGCCCAGTTCAGTCTCATGACTCCTTACCCCTATTCATTAGCTTATCATCAGTCATTCCAAACAAGCTGTGTAGGATCATTTGAAATGTGTTCCGATCTAGACCGACGTTATCAAGTCTCACATCAGCTCTTTCCACCCAGTCGTGAAAAAGTATTATGAGACATTCTACTTCACTTTTTTTTACTGTAAAATGAAAATACAGATATGACTTAATCATTGAGTTCTCCAACCTAATTGAACATATTATACTAAAAAGCTATTTTTTCCTATGATGCTCTAGTAGATGCCCAGTAATTTTTTTAAAAAGTATAACATAGACTTGTTACTTAAGAGGTTATACAATTAAGAAGGGTCTCACTTGAAGAGGAGTTGGGCCATTTTCTTGGGAGTAGACTTTGAATTGGGCCTTGAAGGATGCATAGTTTATAGGAAGAAATGAGTTGGGGGTGGTCAGTAAGTGCAGAATTCTAGGGAGAGGGAACATGAGTAAAGGAAAGAGGTAGAACAGGGGTTGAGGTTGAACTTGTCGTCCTGGAAGCCAGCAAGTTGGGAAGAAGTGAAATCCGATTGAAGAGAATGGGCTGATGGTAGAGGGCCTTGAGTGCCTGGTCAGAGGACTAATGTTTATTTCACTGGAACAGTTTCTCATGATGTCCTCTTTGGACCCTCTGTATGAAAATCAAACCCCTCTCCATTGCTTGTTAAACGTACAAATTGCCGGGCCTTGCCCCAGACCTACCGCAGAATTGCTAACAGTGGGCCCAGGAATTAGCTTTTAAACAAGAGCTTGGTTGACTCTTCTATGCCTTTCTAAGGCATAGCAGTGGTTCTCAACCTTCCCAATGCCGCGGCCCTTTAATCCAGTTCCTCATGTTGTACGTGGGCGTATCTGCATGTGGGCGGACCCGCCTGGAGACGGATGGAGGAGCGGTGTCTCGGTTCCTAAGACCATCGGAAATATGTGTTTTCCGGTGGTCTTAGGTGACCCCTGTGAAAGGGTTGTTCGACCCCCAAGTTGAGAACCGCTGCCTTAGGGTTTGAGGAGTGGTTTAGGAAAAGAGAAGTGGCCAAGCTGTACGGAAGCACAGAAGCCAGGCTTGGAGAGACTGGGCCAGGGAAGTGGAAATGAGGTCAGAGTGGGGAGGGAGCCCGAGATACTGCCAAAAACCAGCAGGGTCAGGTGACTTACTTCAAACAGAAATTTTTTAATACTCTGGATCTCACTCCAGACTTAGCGAACTAATGGTAGATTTAAGAAGTGCATAAGTTTCTCTGAGATCTGTTCCTACTGAAGTGAATCGATGATGCAAATTGCCAAATCTGAGCATCAGAAGACCTTCCAGTCTACCTGATGCATGATCTCTGTAGGTCTGAGAAGCAAAAGTATAATTTAAAACAATAGTGTGCATGTGTGTATTTGTTTATAAAGGTGACAGTGGGTAACTGAGGTCTTACAGATGAGTGACTGAGATGGGGGGGGGCATATTTATGAAAGGTTGATCAGTTCTGAGCAATGATGAAAAGGCTTGATTTCTGACCTTTGTAATTATGAAGGTTTCTGCACTTGATCTGAGCTCAGAATTGGGGGGGCGGGGGGAGTGCACAGGTGATTCTAATGCACCATCAGGACTGAGAACTAAGGGATTAGACTCAGTGGTTTGGGGTATTAGCCTCAAGCATTTGGGTTCTACTTCCATTTCTGAGACTAAATAGTTGGGAGACAGACAAGTCATATAGCATCTTTATGCCTCAGGATCCTCACCTATGAAAATTGGGTATTATCCGTCCTAGATGATCTGAAACCCCTTAAGTTTCTAAAAGTCTAATTCTATGAATCAAAGGTCAAGAGAACTAGAAAAGGAGGGAAAGCTGGTTACTATTTCTCTTTTTGTCTTCCTTGTCCTCCCTCCTCTTTTTTTTTTTTGGTGGAGGTGGGGAGAAAAAAGTTATTTTAGATGCTATCTTTGAGATGATTCCAGGTTACCCAAATGAAATTAATGACAACAGATAGCAAATATGCAGTTTACAATCAAGTTTCCACTGTGGTCGGAATGACTTGGTTCTTAGGACAATGGTTGGCAAATGTAAAGAATAAGCCATTAGAAAGATACCTAATAAAACTATTTTACAAACTGAATTAGATCCTCAGGCTTCACATTGTAGCTTCTAGCCCTAAAATATGACATAAAGGTGTTTTTATTCATCCAATAAGCATTTATTAAGGGTCTTCCACAAACCAGGCAATGATTCCTGCCCTCAAGGTTATTACACTTCGGTGGAGATAAACAAGTTAAGTGCAATAAAGTACTACAAACACTATGATTGACGGTGTTTGGGAGTGACCCAAAGGAAGGAATAATCAGCTGGGGGGAGGTGTTAAGAAATGAAGCAGGGCCCTGGCCGGTTTGGCTCAGCGGTTAGAGCGTCGGCCTGCGGTCCCGAGAGACCCGGGTTCGGTTCCCACTAAGGGCACGTACCTAGGTTGCAGTTTGTCCCCGTCCCTGGTTGGTCGTGCGGGTGGCAGCCACTCCATGTGTCCCTTTCACATCGATGTTTCTCTCTCTCTTCCTCTCTCCCCCTCCCTCTCTACCTGAACAAAAAATAGAAAAATGTCCTCAGGTGAGGATAAAAAAAAAAAAAAAATGAAGCAGGGTCCCAAGGAGGTGTTGAGCTGAGACATGCCAAAGGAGTAAGCATTTGCCAGAGGCATCTTGATGGCCTGAGGTCCTGTTCTGAGAGCTGCAGGTGTTTGGTGTGGCTAGGTGGCTGAATTAAGACAATGGAGTTTGGTGAATTGAAATGACAGGTTGTATTTTCCCCAAGACCACTGAAACAATCTATCCCACCACACAGGCTCTTCTTACAATGTGACTTAATACTTCAGCCTTAGAGAGATGGGGTCTGTCTCCTTCACTTGAAAGGAGGGGGCTTTTGTGCCAGTTTCACCAATAGAGTACAGTGGAAATGAGGCGATGTGACTTTTCAAGGTTAGGTGATAAAAAGGGCTGCAACTGCTCCAAGGACAAAAACTTGGAAAGACATTTTGTTTTTTTTTAATATGAAGAAAAAGGAAGCTCAGATGTGGATACACTCTATGCAGTATCTGTTCGCCTGGAAGTCCTGCTCAATTCTGATGAAGAATTATTACCCGAGTGGAAATGTCAGCACCAGCACTAAGGTGGATTAAGCAGATCCCTGAAGAAAGTGAGGAGCTGCTCCGAGCCCAATATTGACAAGTCATCCAACAAAGCAAGAATTCTAGACCCAATCTTTAGCAGGTAACTTTCTGAGTTTATCAATGTGACTCATATGTCATTATATCTGAAGACCTTATATCCATGATCAAGGAACAATTGATATTTGAGAAATTATGGATAGTGAGAGTGGTGTTGAGATGCCAGAGATTGGCCTGTTCTTAAACTGTTGAGTAATTTTAGATTTACAAGAGAGATGCGATGGTAGTATAGACTTCCTATAAACTCTTCAGTGTTTCTCCCTAATGCCAACAACTTATATAACCACGCAAATTACAATCGGCAAAACTAATAGAATAACTGACACATTACCAAGTAAATTATGGATTTACCAGCTTTTCCAGTCCTTTTTTTTTGTTCCAGGATTCATTTGGTTGTCACGTGACCTCCTATCTGTGAGTTTTCAGTTTTTCCTTGCTTTTCATGACTGTGAGTTATTTTAAGAATATTCCTTACTTTAGCTTTGTCTAATGTTTTTCTCATTAGACTGGTTGTGTATTGGGGAAGAATGTGCGCTAAAGTGCCGTTCTTGTCATTACACTCAGGGGCATGCATGTAACCTGGATTACCTGGTTAAACAGTGTACAGGTCTCTCCACGGTAATTACTTTTTTTTCCCCCCCATAGTCTATTCTTCAGAGGCCAATCTCTCAAAGAACAGAGTCAGGCGCCACTATTTGGGAAGGGGTTTCTACAGTATCACTTGGAATTCTTCTGAAAGAAAGATGCCTCTTTTCCACTGTTATTTTGTTCTCAAATTGTTTCAGCTTCGACCACTGGGGTTTTCAAGCTGGTTCCTGTATCTTTCATATATCCCCATTCTTCTGCTTTTCCAGCACTTCCTTGCTTTCTGGCACTACTTGCCAGGCTCCTTTGCATTATCCCTGTGAGATAACAGGAAACAATGTATGTCGGTCTCTGCCCCCAATTCCTAGCACAGAGCTCTGAAAACCCTTGTAATTTTCTAAGTCATACAAGAATTAGGAGCATCTTTTCTTCTGTTTGGTCTTTGACCCAATTTCCAGACAAATTCCTAAATCCCTTAGAATTTCCTGGGTGATGGGAATGTCTTTTGTTCTAATGAGGTGACTATTGGTGGTTCCTGTTCACTAGAAAGACCAAACCACCCACCATCTTTTGGAGAGAAGCCGGAAATTGAGTTAACAATCTATCATGTTCATGTAAGTCTCTATGAAAACCACCAAGGTGCTGGGAGAAAGCTCAGAAGCTCCACATCCTTCCCCACATACCCTGCTCTATGCATCTCTTCCACCTGGCCGTTCCTAATTATATCCTTTTATAATAGATTGCTAATCTAGCCCAGCTGGTATGGCTCAGTGGTTGAGCATCGACCCATGTACCAAGAGGTTGCCTGTTTGATTCTGTCAGGGCACACACCCAGGTTGTGGGCCCGATCCCCAGTGTGGGGCATGTAGGAGGTAGACAATCGATGTTCTCTCTAGTGGGTGATACTCTCACTCCCTCTCTTCCTTCCTCTCCCTCTCAAAATCAATAAAGTAAATAAATAAATAAATAAATAAATAACCCTGGCCGGTTTGGCTCAGTGGTCGTATCAGCCTGCGGATCAGAGGGTTCCAGGTTCGGTTCCCACTAGGGGCATGTACCAAAAATAAATAAATTGCTAACCTAGTAAGTAAACTGTTCCCCTAAGTTCTGTGAGCTGCTCTACCAAATTAATTGAACCCAAGAAAGGCACTGTAGGAACCTTAGATTTATAGCCAATTGGTCAGAACCTGTGGCACAGGTAACAACTTGCACTTGTCATTGGCATCTGAAGTGGAAGGGAGCAGTCTCGTAGTACTGGACTCTTACCTGGTGGGATCTCATTCTACCTGCAGGTAGTCTCAGGACTGAGTTAAACTGTCGGGTCCCAGCTGGTGTCAGAGAATTGCTTGCTGGGAAACAATTC